ATAGCATCTAAGAGTGGAATATTTACCTCAACTCGGCGAAAAGTCTCCATAATCTCCTTGTCTTCTTGCTCCTTCTTGCTTTGCTCGAATCTCTTTGGGAATGGTGGTCGGATGACCAATTCAGGCGCCTTTCCTTTGTCCTCTATATTCTTACCTTCAACCTTCTCTTCATTTGACTTGTCACCCGTAATCTCGGCCTCTTTCTCTTCTTTCCTCTCGCTCCTTCTTACTTTGGGTTCGGGATCCGGAACCGTCCTGTTTCTTAAAGTAATGGCACTAACATTAGCTTTCGRGTTAGTTTCAGTTTGGGACGGTAACTTACCTTGGCTCTCAATGCGATTAAGCGAAATCGCCATTTGCCCGATTTGAGCTTCCAAATTCTTCTGTTGGGCCGCTAAACTTTGATTATGGGTTACCAAATTCTGGATATTCGTCCTCGTCTCTTGCTGAAATTGTTGAGTGTTAGTAGCAAGAGATTTGACAATATCTTCTAAAGACATACCTGTACTACTAGAAGTAGCTTGATTTGGATTGAAGGGTGCTCTTTGCTGAAATGGCTGTTGGAATTGCCTTTGCTGGAACTGTTGCGGAGGTCTTTGGGCACCAAAGCTCTGGTTATAAAACCTTTGTTGTGGTTGTTGGCCTGGAAAGCCTCCGATGGCGTTGACATCTTCGGGTGCAACCAAAACATCTTCTTGTAGTTGCGGACACGCATCCGTCGGATGGCTCGTCCCATTGCATATACCGCATGCCTTAACCTGCTCTTTACCCACAACTAATTGTTTAACAAGGTTAGTCAAATCAAATAACCTACTCTCAATGGTACCGGTATTAACCTCGTTAATCTTGTARGGCTCTCTTCTTAAATCACCTCGCACRCTAAAATGCTGAGARTTCTCAGCCATAGTGGTRATCAAAGCCCTCACTTGAGTTGGGGTTTTATTAAAAATTGCCCCTCCACTAGCRGCATCAATCATCTTCCTTTCCATAGGAAGAAGGCCCTCATAAAAATACTGCAACAAAAGTTGCTCGGAAATTCCGTGTTGCGGGCAACTAACGCAGAGATGTTTGAACCTYTCCCAATATTCATGGAGGGTTTCCACATCTCTTTGTTTTATACTGCAAATTTCCCTACGAAGWGTGGCGGCTCGGGAAGCGGGAAAAAATTTGTCAAGAAATAATCTTGCCATCGCATTCCACGTCGTTACCGAACCGGGCGGTAACGAGTAGAGCCAATCTTTAGCCCRATCTTTTAAAGAAAAAGGRAATGCCTTTAACTTTATAAGATCATCCGTAACCTCGTTRGGTTTCATGCTTAAACACACCACATGGAATTCCTTGAGGTGTTTGTTYGGGTCCTCATTCTCCAAACCGTGGTAGGAGGGTAATAAGTGGACCAAACCAGTTTTTAGAACAAAATTGGCGTTACCTTGCGGGTACCTAATACAGATAGGAACCTGGGCAACGTCATGTGTCGCCAACTCTCGTAGAGTTCGCTCGTCATGCTCGGCAGCCATCGCGTCTGCCTTTTCTTCGTGTCCTTCTTCGTACCTTTCTTCCTCTTCGTCCGAATCGCTCGATAGGTAAATATCTTGCCAGATATTTAACCCCGGTGACGAAGGTCCCTCGCCGAACTTCTTTCGAAACTTGGCTTGTTTCCTTAGTCATTTCGCGGTTCGTTCGATTTCTAGATTTATTGGTAAAGGTGAACCTGTACGTGACGATCTAGGCATAAACAGTTAGTAATACCGAGTCCCCGGCAACGGCGCCAAAAATTTGACGGATGCCGAGTCCACCAAATAATAAATTCCAACTAACGACTAATTACAACCAAAATTGTAGTAGTGTAAGTCGGGTCGAATCCACAGAGACTCGGTCTAACGTTATACGACTAGCGAATCAAGCACACGATGGAAGCGTAAAAATACTAATAATCACAAAAAAGGGGGGGGGGTTTGAATTTGATTAATTACTCTAAAAATGCAATAATATAAACTAAAACAATTGATTAAAACCCCAACATCGATTTAATACCGGTTAAGATGTTAATGCCTATCATCGATTCCAAAAATGTAAACGGAAAGRACAAGCCCGAATTGGCTTTAATCGTTAACAAGCTCTAACGACCCACATTTTCCATAGATAATCGTTGATTAAAATAAGCTCTCTAATCAACCCTTAACCACAAATACGAGTTTAAATAAGCTCTTAAACTCATAGGTGCGATTAGCTTTATCGGACTAAAAAAAGTACCAATTCAAAGCCATAAGCTCACAAGCTCGGCTTATCGAGGCTTAAATTGCGAGATTTCAAATATTCAATCCGGAAACCTTATCGAAACCAAATGAATACTATTGTCCCTCTATCAAAATCCTAAGACAATTACGTATCTAAGAATTCTGAATAACCATTCCATAAAAGATTTCCAATCAGTTAGCTAAACTAATTAAAAACCCAAATAGGATTAACATTGAGTTCAGAAATCAAGCAAATAAGCTTGTTCAAACACAATTACAATGAAATCTCAAGGCAATAACAAATCAAAACCTAATTAAACCAAATGTTGGAATGAAAAACTTAGCAAAACATATCTAGGTTACTGATTCTAAGGGTTTTAGGATTTACCGTAAGAATCAGTTGATGAGAAAGATTGTCGTCTTCTCCATTTTGAAACAGCCCCTGATGTCCGCTTCAATCTCGCCTCCAATCGAACAGCTTGCTGTCGAACAKCTCCTTCTTCTCCAGTCCAACAGCCCCCAAACGTGTTGCTCTCCTTTCTCCAACAGCCCTCAATCGACAGCCCTCTGCTGTCCTCGCTCTCGGTCCTGTAAAATCAAACCAGCCCCCAAAACGAACAGCCCTCGCGACTGTCTCTTCTCCTCGAACGAACCGACTGCTTTTCTCCCGTCCCCTGTTGAACAGCCTCCTTTCGATAGACTCCCTCTTTTTGTATTAACAGCCCTTTCTATCTTGTTCCTCTCCACGACCCTCGCTGCCCACGTCGATCATTGCACGATGTCCCTTCTCCATCGCACTTCTCTCGCTGCACACGTCTCTCTCTCTCTCTCGCGACTCGCTTCCTGGTTTGGGCAGCAGGTTTGGGCAGCAGCCCAAGCTCATTCTCGATTACTTTTGCTGTTTCTTTTGGGCTTAGACTTGGGCTGCTGTTATGGGCCAAACAAAACACATAATCAAATACATTTTTCTCACCTTTAATAGCCTCATGAGAATAAGTATTAACTTAAATAAAAATGGACGTTTTAAGCATCAACTTAACATTAATTGCAAGGTAACTTTGATATAAAAAAGTATAAAATTTGCACATATCAGTACTGCAGAAGAAAAAACTGCAAAATCCGATCCAATTTATCGTAATCGATTAATTAACATGTTGGTTAACCGTATTCTGAAACACGGAAAAAAATCATTGGCTTATCAAATTATCTATCGAGCCGTGAAAAAGATTCAACAAAAGACATAAACAAATCTACTATATGTTTTACGTCCAGCAATACATGGAGTAACTCCGGGTATGACAGTAAAAGCAAGACGTGTAGGTGGATCGACTCATCAAATTCCCATTGAAATAGGATCCACACAAGGAAAAGCACTTGCCATTCGTTGGTTATTTGCGGCATCCGAAAATGTCCGGGTCGAAATGTGGCTTTCAAATTAAGCTCCGAATTAGTAGATGCTGCCAAAGGGAGTGGCGATGCCTTACGCAAAATGGAGGAGACTCAAACATATACAATGAATGACTCATCTCCTATTATTTTCTATAAATATTTCAATCATAATAAATGAGATCAACGAATCATGATCATCTTTCAAAAATATCTTGTTTGTTTCATAATATATATTGATTATGATTTGTAAGATTTTCAAAGTCTGTATTTGAAACCCCCTATGTATGTATGTATGTATGTATGTATGTATGTATGTATGTATGTATGTATGTATGTATGTATGCATGCATGCATGTGTATATGTGTGTATGTGAGAGAGAATGATTTGATCTTGTGTTGTAAGGTAGATGTGGTGGGTCTAGTTTTTATAATCTAATTTTGTTGTATTAATGATGATTAATCTTCTAAACGTGTTCATCTATAATGAAATTATGGATCATTATTGGTCTTCGATCAATCTTTAAAAACGAACTATACCATTTCTTTACAACTTTATCTTGGGTTGATTCATCATGTATAAATATCTGCTTCTAAATCATATTTTTCAATATAAATACAGTTTTTACATATTTTTACAGATTAAAATAAATATATTCATTAATATAAAAAAAATGCAAAAACATTACTATTCTAGTTTAGGGTTTGAGAGACAAACCGACGTTAATGTGAAATATTGTTATAAAAAAATTTAATTATATTATCACATTATTTTTTTTAAAAATAATAAAAGAAATGATATATATATATATATATATATATATATATATATATATATATCAAATATGTGGCTAGCACATAAGAGTACAAATAATAATTCAAAGAAGTCACATGCAAATTTAACAAAAGGAATTGGATATTTTTTGTGAAGGGACCAAATTAATCGGATATAATGTATAAAGTTTATTGGTTAAATGAGGACAAAACGAAATCTCTTATCAAAACAAAAACCTATAAATTAAAAAATATTTTTTTTGGAGTTATTTCTAAATAAATTAATTGATATTTTGAATTTTGGAAGAAATATATGTTATTTAATAGTAAAAAATAAAAAATAAACACTTATTTTTCTTTATATCATAATATTAAAATAATTAATGGGATTTCATTACTGTATACTAAATCTAAACAAGATTTCTTCATAATTTTATAAATGACGAACACTCACACACGATGTAGGTCATAAGAAAATATAAAAAAATTAATAAAGTTGTTTGGACAATTTGGTCACAATTTCCGTTATATATAAATGTTATTTAATGATTGAGGATAAACCACGATCAAGCCTATTAATCAATATCTACGAGAGCAATTTCGATATGAACGATATTATATAGAGGTTGTATAAACATTTTGAATCACGCGTTATAGTATCCGAATATGTTCATAATTGAGCGATTTAACCATTCGATTTTACGTACTTGTCACATGTTCATTGCTTGGACTAAAGAAATATACGCTCTCTATCAACTTGTTCATTGTTTTCGTGGTTTCGAAACGATATTCAAAAGGACCGAAAATGATATTTTTTAAAGATAAAATTTACATAATTAATTGTTTTAAGTTTTTGAAATTTACAATTTCACCACAAAACTTTTTTAGATGAAATTATGGAAACCATATTATATAGAGTTTACATGAACGCTTATCGTTTTTATGGGATGGAAAAAAGCCAAGTTACATGAAAATGGAGTGCATTTTTTGAGTTCATGTTATAAGTAACGTGCATTTAAACATTAATTCTGGTGCCTAATAAAGATGTGTGATATATTGATCATTTAAGTGTGTTTTTATCTAATGATGAGTAAATGTTAATATGATCTGGTTTTATTAACGTATCATTGAGATTTTTATTTTTAAAATGTCAACTAAGTATAAAAAATCTTGTAATTAACTGTAATAACCCATACCCTTACTTTGATGTTTTATTGAGTTTAGAGTGAACATTGTATGCATTCTTAACCTTTAGGGACCAAAGTTGAAAATAAGGGTTAAATGAGAAGGGATATTTCAAGGTTTTGGGCATTGAGGATCATATTTGTACAGATTGAAGAAGGCAGCATTGAACAGAGGGTTCCGTGACCTGGCGTGCGGCCTAGTTGCAGCCTTGGTCGCGTGAGAGTTTGCTTTCACGCCACTTGGTTTGTCCCGTTTCTTGTTTTAAGTTGCGGTTCGATCCATCGTCCTAGGGGTTCATTAATGGGTTATAATAGAAGACTTTTGGGAATTTTAAATGGAGTTAACACCCTTTTTAACTTGGGTAACTCAGGCATTCAGTTTGAGTTTTCTAACCGATAGGCTTAGGGAAGAGCACGGAACATTAGGTGAGTTCTCTCATACTGAAGTTTATAATTCAGAATTGTTTCTAAAAGCTTGAGCACTGATTTTGGTTAAGACGTTGATAATTCATGTGCAAGAACTTATTTGTTTCATTACTATTGAATTTGGAACTGTATTTGATCTATGTGGAGTGTGTGGGATTGAACAGCAGGCGTGGGGTACCTTGAAGTAGTAACACCTCTTGGGAGTTATAATCTACTGCCTTGAATCCGTTTTTGAGCACAATGGATGCAGTCCTTTATGGGTCTAATTGTTATTATTGTCGCGAAGGGACTGTGAGCGGGTTGCTACAATTGTTGTGCAATATCCGTGTGGTGGGACTATGCTTCAAAATTGTTGAATACTTGAGTAGCATCAAATGTTTTCTTACTTTTACTCCTTTAAAAGTTGTTGAACTGTTTTAAGGAAATTCACTAGACCTTTTGGTCTAACTCTCGTTTTTCAAGTAAAAAGGCAGATATCAGGTGGAAAGTGGATCTAAAGGCAAAGGCAAG